TTCTGCGGGCGAGGTGGTCGAGGGGCCATCCACGGCTGAGAGACCTTAGATTCCAGGGCCCGCCGAGCCCACGTGCCGCGCGGGCGGGGACCCCCCTGCGGTGGGCACGCGGTCCGACAGGGAGGCCCCCTTCTGGGGAGCGGGCCTCGCCGGCCTGCTCGAGCGCCGTGGGCCTTCCTTCGGCGGCGAGGCCCTGGGCCCGGGGACCTGCCGAGCCCACGGGCCGCGCGGGCGGTGACGCCCCTGTGGAGGACATGGGGTCCCACGGGGGGGCCTCTGGGGAGTTGGCGCCGGTGGCCAGCCGGGGCTCCCCCAGGCCCCCGCGGGCCTCGGGGGCCCCCGAGCCCCCGCGTGAGCTTTTCCGCGGCCGCCGCTTGGTCACCGAGGGCCCGTCAGTTTATTGTTTGCGACGCGGTGGTTCAGCCTCCACTCGCCAGTCGCCCACGCTGCTAAGCGACTGCCTGGGTCAAGTGATTTGGGCCTTCCCAGCCGTATCCGAATGACGGCCCTCGCTAATATCCAGGGCCCCGCCACCCCCGCACGGGGGGCCCTATCGGCGGGCACGGACCACCAGGGCCCAGGAGATAGCCATATAGTATAGTTCATGGCTCTTTTGGGGGCTTGGCCTAGCCGTGCCCTTCAACGGAGTCATCAGTCTGTCCGACTTCTCTTCCTCCTCCTCTGGACTACACTTAGGAGTGGCGCTCGGCCGGAGTGACCTCTGGCGCGCGGTCTCAAGGGCGCCGGCGGGGGCCCAACGCAACCGCGCAAGACAGCACTGCCGCGCCGCATCTACGATCGGCGGGACGCCACTGGAAGGATGTTGTTGCGCCAGCGGGCAACCTCTGAATTCCGCCAATTGTATTCGAACGCCCCGAATGGTATTCGAAGGCGCTGCGAAAGCAGGCGCTGCCAGAAGCCACCGCGATGAGATCTGGCACTGCCGGGCCGCCTCGCGATGATGTCAGGCCAGGTCTGGCGCCATGGCCGCAATTGCCCCCATCTGTGGACCTGTGATATGTCTGGCAGTCTTTTTGGGCAACTTGCATCAGTAAACAAAATCGTTTAAAATATTCAAGCATAGTCAAACATCTTCAAAGATATTCCAGAACATCTATGATCTCACAAGATATCCAAGCCAGATTTGGGCTGGGGGTTGAGATTGGTGTTGGAGCAAGAAACGCGACGTCTGGTCGACCGGCCCCCCGGGAAACCAATGCTCATTGTAGGCGCCGCGCATGCGTTGTTGTCGATTCAAGGATGGGGGCCCAGACTTGGCGCGCGCAGGTGCGAGCGCAATCACACGATACGGGTGCCGACGCGAGGTCAAGCTCATTCAAAAAGAAAAATCACCCGACCCCCGTCGGGGCCAGCACCAAATCTCATTCGATCGAAGGGTCACTCGTACGTGTAGTCGATCTTCATCCTCCTCCTCATCCTCCTCCTCGAGGCTTTAAGGTCATGATTGGTGCCCGCAGGCGTCTTGGGCAGCAAGCTGCCCAACAAGGTTTTCCTTGGGCCCAGCGGGGGCGAGTCCCTCCAGCTGGGGCCCCGATCTTCGTTGCTGGGATTGGCACATGTGCCGTCGCAGGGATGATCATTAGTTTCTGTGAACGGTCTCCGTAGCATTGAAGGCTTCAAAAGATATCATCAACATCAGCGCCACGCAATTTTCATGGCGCTGCCATATCCACGACACATTTTAGTCCCAGCGGCGGATCACTCCTCCAGGTGCCCGCTCGGGCAGGGGCGCCTCTTGAGCAAAGATGGCAGAGGTGGACGACATGCTGAGATTGGCGAAGTCGTCGATTTTTAGCGGCAAGGAAGATGAATGGACAGAGCAGAGCTTCGTTAAACGGAGCTACGCAGCGGTGCAGGCTCCCGAGATGGCCCACCTGATCGAGGCGGGGGAGAGCGCAGCTCGCCCCGATGTCACCGCCGACAACAGCCAGCAAACGCTGGGCGCTGGAGGGGCGGCAGCGGCGAAGGAGCTGCTCCGCGCGAAGTCTGGCAACTCCGAAGGGAGCTGTAGCTAGGCCTACGCATCCTGCCGCGGGAGTAGGTGATATGGCTCCGTCGCTACCGTCGCCCGCTGCCGCCGCCGCCGCCGCCATCGACTACTGACGTTGGACATCGCGTGACCTGCAGCTGTTTGTGCTGCGAGTGAACAAAGAAAACGCCCGCGCGCCCTCTCTTAGCGCGCGCGCGCCATCATACTTTCCCGGCATTCCTTGTTTCACGGACGTATGTTGCAGAATGGCCAAATCCATGGATGCCCAAGCCATGGAGGCAGTAGGTCAAACGACAATAGTAGAACAAAACGATCGACCAGTCATGATGTATCCCCCAGCAAAAAAACTCTTGCTCGCCCAGGGGGCGCGGAGGGGAAGAGGGTGGAGGATCTATGAGGGGAGGAGAACGAAGCTGGTCTTCCAGGCATGATGTCTACTAGCCTTAGGCCCATCCCGCCACCGCGCCTGGGTTGTCAGAGGCCTCTCGGTGCCCTCTTGGCCTGTCTTGGGGCGCTCGTGGCTCCGACGTATCCATGCGGGAAGCGCTGGGGAATCGCGGAAGGTACGCCGAGAATCCGGAAACAATTTGGAATTTGTGGCCCAGCCCTTTCACGTTCGATCCTGAGGATTGAGGGTTTTCCAACTCGGGCACAGCGCGCGGCTTTTACGGCCGCGACCGTCCTGCTCCTGGAACTCTACGGTGTCTGCACTCGTGCATGAAAGGGCAGCTGCTCTATGGGGACGCTGAAGTCCAATTCCATGTTGAAGGGATAGACCACCCAGAAGCATGATTACCTCTTCCCATGCATTGGGATACATTGGGGGGGCAGCGGGGGCTGCAGATAAGGGGCCCTTCAGGGTCCAAAAAGGGGCCTTCAGGGCCCGAGAAATGCCATTTTGTTTCTCCCCCGTTGTTCGCCCTCCCTCTTAAGCAACGCCCAAGTTAGGACGAGGAGAAATCCGTTTCAGAGCGGTCCGGAACGCCCAAAGAGCGTTCCCGAATGCTTTGAGAAGGCCCCGACGCCCGAGACATGCTCCAGAGCCGCCAGACTCCAGAGATTCTTGATGGATCTTCGCCCCCCCCCATCAAGCGGCGCCCAAAATGCAGCGGCACTCCAGTCAACAACAGAAGTTGGCCAAGGCTTGAGCTAAGATCTCGTGAATCCTAATGTTCTGGATCTCGCTGTCGGCTGCACCTCATCCCAGGCAGCGGCACCCCGACTCGCGCCTCGCGGCACGGTGGCGGACACTTTTGACGTCGCAGCGCGGCAGAGTCGGTCCGCGCGCGCATCCGGCAAGCCGGGAGACGGCACTGCGCATCGTCTCGTATTCTGGAGAGGAGGAGAAGGAGATGGGCGGCCGCGGGAGAGCGGAAACAGGGGGGGGGGGGGGCGGCAAGCGCTCTCACACGCTCGTTTTCTTGTTCATTATATTGCCCGTGGGCGCAGGCCCTCGCACCCCCTCCTCCCCCCCCCCCCTGGGAGTAGACCTTGGTTGTTTGGGGCGCCTGTTTCGAGCAGGCGGAGTCTCCCCCAAAGGCCGCACTGCTGCAAACAGGCGCGCTAAGCTGAGGAGGTCAGGAGCCAAAACCCTCCTTCTCCCCCCCCTCCGCCCAATGTCGAAACGCCGATTAAGAAAACGCTCGCCAAGCGTGGGTTCTGGAGGTCCGGACCACTTCCCTGGGGCCGGTTCTGCGTCCTGGGTCATTTTTTGACGGCCCCCCGAGGCCCGGCGAGGGCCCCCAGAGGCCAAAAGCAGCCCAAGGCCGCCCGCTCCGTTTTCTGGGGAGAGCGTCGGACCTCTGGGGGGGGGGGGGGCCAGCGCTCTCACGCAGCGAGGCCGCATCGGAGGCGGTGGCGGGCCCACGCTGCGTCGGACTCCGCCCGGCCCCGGGGCCTCCGCGCCGCCACGGCCGGGCCGCGCGGCCGAGGCGGGGCGGCGCGGCGTGCGGCCCGCAGGGGGAGGGGGAGGGGGAAGGAGGAGAGAGAGAGGAGGAAGGAGGAGAGGGAGGAGGGAGGCGAGGGAGGGGAGGGAGGGGAGGGAGGGAGGAGAGGGAGGAGGGAGGAGGAGGAGGGAGAGGGAGGAGGGAGGGGAGGGAGGGGAGGGAGGGGAGGGAGGGGAGGGAGGGAGGAGAGGGAGGAGGAGCGAGCGAAAGACGTAAACGTGCACAAGTCCACGTTGGATTCGAGAGTACTTGGGCACGTGTTGCGCGGACGTTCTTATCACGCGGCCGGTCTCGCGAACTCGGAGGCCGTGTCCATGCACGTAGCTGGGCGCGTACGTCCTTTGTGGGCTCCCTAAAGGAGGAGGAGGAGGAGGAGGAGGAGGAGGAGGAGGAGGAGGAGGAGGAGGAGGAGGAGGGCGGAGGAGGGCGGAGGGGGGCGGAGGAGAGGGAGGAGGGAGCGGAGAGGAGAACATCAGAGGAGGAAAAGATCATATTGCTACCTTTCGCCCGTTTTTCCTTGATTCGGCCTCCTGGGAGGCCCTCGTCGCCACCGTTGGAGTCGCCTCGAAATCCTGGTCAGAACGCCGCACCCCAGGAGAAATCCGGGGAGTAGAGGTATCGATACTGTTTGGCTTCTGCAGAGGAAAAGAGATAAAGGCGAAAGGGAGGAGGGGAAGGTGGAGAAGGAAAAAAAAGAGGGGGCGAGGTTTGGAAAGCGTAAGTGTTGGACGAAGAGGAGGGGGAGGAGCAGGGGGAGAGGAGGACGAGGAAGAGGAGGAGGAGGAGGAGGAGGAGGAGGAGGACGTGGGGGGTAATGAAGCGGCGGAAGAAGGAGGAGGAAGATGAATAGAGGAGCATGGGATAACATGAACAGGAGGAGGAGGAGGAGGGGGAGGAAGAGGAAGGAAGGAGTCATCATGAAAAGGAGGGAGAAATATAGGAGGAGCAAGGGGAGAAACAGGAACAGGAGGAGAAGGAGGACGACGACCACAACCACCACCACCCACCACGAGAAGGAGGAACAATAGGAGGACGACCCGCAGGACGACCACCAGCAGAAGGAGAAGGCCAGCGCCCTCCCCCGCGCGTCTCGCTGCACGCGCACCCCGCACCCGCATCGGGCACGGGAGGGCCCTCGGCGGCGCTCGGAGGCCTTCGGAGGTCCTCCGAGCTCATCGGAGGCCTTCGGACGCTCTCGGACGCAGCTCGTCCTCCTCCTCCTCCTCTCCTCCTCCTCCTCCTCCTCCTCCTCCTCCTCCTCCTCCTCCCTCCTCTCCTCCTCCTCCTCCCTCCTTCTCCTCCTCCTCTCCTCCTCCTCTCCTCCTCCTCCTCCTCCTCCTCGCTCCTCCTCCTCCTCCTCCTCCATCCTCCTCCTCCTCTCCCTCCTCCTCTTCCTCCTCCTCACCTCCTCCTCCCCTCCTCCTCCTCCTCCTCTCTTCCTCCTCCTCCTCCTCCTCCTCCTCCTCCTCCTCCTCCTCCTCCTCCCCTCCTCCTCCTCCTCCTCCTCCTCCTCCTCCTCCTCCTCCACCTCCTCCTCCCCCCCCCTCCTCCTCCCCCCTTCCTTCCTCTCCTTCCTCCTCCTCCTCCTCCTCCTCTCCTCCTCCTCCTCCTCCTCTTCCTCCTCCTCCTCCTCCTCCTCCTCCTCCTCCTCCTCCTCCTCCTCCTCCTCCTCCTCCTCCTCCTTCCTCCCCCTTCCTTTCTCCTCCCTCCTCCTCCTCGTCCCCTCCTCCTCCTCCGCCTCCTCCTCGTCTCTCCTCCTCCTCCTCCTCCTCCTCCTCTCCCTCCTCCTCCTCCTCGTCCTCCTCCTCCTTCTCCTCCTCCTCATCTTCCTCCACCCCCTGCCACCTCCTCCTCCGTCCTCCTCCTGGCACCTCCCTCCTCTCCTCGAACGTCCTTCCTCCTCCACCCCAATTACCTCTCTCTTGTCTACACCATCCGCCTGGCACGCGCCGCGCCCCGACGTCCACCCCAGCCGCGGCCCGGTGCCTGCCGCGCATAGGGCCTCGTCGCCGCCGTCGCCATCATCGTTGCCGTCGTCGTCGTCGCCTCATCGCATCGTCGTCGTTGTTGTGCCGTCGACGCCGCCTCCTCGTCGCCGTCGCCGTCGTAGGTGCAAAGGAGAGAATGGAGGAGGAGGAGGAGGAGGAGGAGGAGGAGGAGGAGGAGGAGGAGGAGGAGGAGGAGGAGGAGGAGGAGGAGGAGAGAGGAGAAGAAGAGGAGGAGGGGGGAGGAGGAGGAGAGATAGAGGAGAGGGAGAGAGAGAGGAGAATAGAGGAGATAGAGGAGATAGAGGAGGAGGAGGAGGAGGAGGCAGAGAGGAGAGGAGAGAGAGGAGAGGAGGAGAGGAAAGAAGGAGGAGGAGGAGGAGGAGGGGGGAGGAGGAGGTCGAGGACCAGGGCAAGGGCTCTCTGCCCCCGACTCGGTGCTCACAGGGCGCCGCCGGCAAAGGGCGGGACTCGCGGCCAGGCGAGCGACCGACGTGGGCCCCCAGCGCGCAGCGCGCCCATTGGGGGCCCGCAGCAGGCGGGACACGCGGGTCACCCGCGGGGGCGCGACGGCGAGGGCGCTCCGCGCCTCGCGGGCTGGGCCGCGGGTGCCGCGCATCGATGGGCGCGGAGCGCGAGGTCAGGTGACCTGGGACCTCAGTGGGCACTGGAAACGACAGGAGGAGGAAGCTAAGGAGGAGGAGGAGGAGGAGGAGGAGGAGGAGGAGGAGGAGGAGGAGGAGATAGAGAGATAGAGGAGATAGAGGAGACAGAGGGGAAGGAGATTGAGGAGATGGAGGAGGAGGAGGAGGAGGAAGAGGAGGAGGAGGAGGAGGAGGAAGAGGAGGAGGAGGAGGAGGGAGGAGGGAGGAGGGAGCAGGGAGGTGGTGAGGCTCTCCCAGGACTGAATGGACTTAGTGGGCCTGCCGTTTTCATATCGGTTCCGTGTTGCAGTTTTTGTTGCCAGTTCCGACGCCGTTGCTTCGCCCGTTCCGTCGCTGTTTCTAACCGGTTCTGGCTCCGGTTCCAATCCCGGAGCCGTATTGGTTGCCGCTTCCGGCCGCTGTTTTGTTGCCGCTTCTGTCTTCGAGAGACTTCTTTTCGGAAATGGTGAAAGAAAAAACGGCCTTGCCGTTTACAGGGCCCCCTTCAAGCCTGGGACACGCAGCCTTTGCCACGGAGCAGGTGCCCAGAGAGCTCTCCTAGCACACGCGCGAGGTCTGGCGGCCTGGCACACGCGCGAGGTCAGGGGACCTGGGAGCGCGGAGCGCGAGGTCAGGTGACCTGGGACACGCATGCCTCTGCCACCCGATTCGGTGCTGGCTGGTGCCGCCAGCGAGGTGCGGCGTTCGCGCTGGCCAGGCCAGGCGGGCGACCGACTTCCTCCTGCCTCCCGCGCGGTCTGGCCACCGAAGGTCCACGGCGTCGTCGTTGCTGTCGGTCGTCGGTCGTCTCCCTCGTCGCCCTCCTCGCTGTCGTTCCCCTCTCCGTCGTCGCCGTCGGAGGATGAGTGATGAAGGACGCGGGAGGGTGGCAGCAAACGGCGGCAGGGGGGAGGTAATAGAGGGGCGGAGAGGGGGAGGAGGGCCAGACGTGAGGGAGGGTGGGAGGGCAATTGGGAGAGGAGGATTTTTGAGGGGGTGCATCTCTGATTCAACCGCTGGTTGATCAGACTGAGGGCGGCACTCGCAGCAGGACTCATCAAGACTATAGCGTAGGCGACTATCCGGCAGGGCGCCAAGGCATTGGGCGGGCATCTGTTGCCCTCTTAAAGTGTGAAGCGTGAAACCAGTATCTCTGGGAGGGCGACGGAGAGGCGAGAAGACAGGCGGCGGCAAGAAAGCGCGGGTCCTGATTTTCTAATTGTTCGGAGCTCTGAACAAGGCGGCGCGCAAGAGAGTGGCAACAGGAAGACGCTGGTTGATAGAAAAATGCACACTGTATGCATGGCGGGAGACAGAGCAACGAGCAGCAGCATGCGACGGCGCAACGAGGCTACATTTACTGCAGAGACTCCTCCCCTCCCACCACCCTAACCAGGAGGAGGAGGAGGAGGAGGGAGGAGGGAGGAAGAATGAGGGAAGATTGAAGAAGGTTTGGGAGGAGGAGGAGGAGGAGGAGGAGAAGAAGGAGAAGGGCCATGGTAGGCCCAGGTTATAACAACGGTGATGCATCACCCGCTCACGGCCCAAGTCCTCTCCTCAGAAACCCTCTTAAGTATTCCTCCCCCCTGCGGGGACGACCCCCTCTTCTCGTTGATGTTCGCGCGCCTCGTCGGCCCCCGCTCGCCCTCTGCCGTCGGACGGCCCGGTCCTCCTGCTGCTACTCTCCCCGTCGTTCGCGCGGTGTTGCGCTCTTTTTTCGCTCCTGCGCCTCGTCCTTCCAATGCTGAGCTCTCTTGTGCCACTTGCGTGCGCAGTCCGCGGGGGGAGGGCAGAATTGCGGAATCATGGGTGGTTCACTGCTCCTTGGCCTGCTCCTTGGTCAGCCTTGGACTTGGACTTGGTCTGTTCGTCAAGGGTCTCGTCTGGTCTGGCTGATTATTGTAGGCCCGCCTTGTGTGATAGGACCATCAGACCCCTCCTCCTCCTCTTCCTCCTCCTCCTCCTCTTTCATTCCTCCTAGCCGCCCGAAACACCAAGTACACTCTAGAACCTCTCCTCATCCTCCTCCTGCTCCTCCTCCTCCTCCTTCTCCTCCTCCTTCTCCTCCTCCTCCTCCTCCTCGTCCTCCTCCTCCTCCTCCTCCTCCTCCTCCTCCTCCTCCTCCTCCTCCTCCTCCTCCTCCTCCTCATCCCTCACCCCGTGCACGTGCACACCATGTGGGCGGGGACCCCGAGCGCCGCGCCCCAGAGGGCACGGGCACGTCGATGTGTCCGGCACCAGCACCGTTGGCTCGCTCGCTGTCCTCCTCTTCCTCCTTCCGCATCCCGTCCACCCCTCGGAGGACGCGCAATGGGGGGCGATAAATGGGGATAGTGGCGAGGGCTGCCGAAAAGGGGCCCTTTAGGGCCCCTGAAGGAGCCCTTTAGAGCCCCAGCGGAGGCCTTTAGGGCCCGAAGAGGGCACACTTCTTCCTCCCAACTCGCGCTTTCGAGCGGACGGAACCGAACCTCCCGCAGCCATCCGCCCTCCTCGCCCCCTCTCCTCCTCCTCCTCCGTCCTGAGCGCGTCCTCCTCCTCCTCCTCCTTCTCCTCCTCCTCCTCCTCCTCTTTCCTCCTACCTCCTCTCCTCCTCCTCCCCTCCTCCTCCTCCTTGTCCTCCTCCTCCTCCTCCTCCTCCTCTCCTCCTCCTCCTCCCCCTCCTCCTCCTCCTCCTCCTCCTCCTCCTCCTCCTCCTCCTCTCCTCCTCCTCCTCCTCCTCCTCCGCCTCCTCCTCCTGCCTCCTCCTCCTCTCCCTCCTTATCCTCCTCCTCTTCTTCCTCCTCCTCCTCCTCATCTTCCTCGTCTGGATCATCCTCCTCTTTCTCTTCCTCCCCCTCCTCCTCCTCCTCCTCCTCCTCCTCCTCCTCCTCCTTCTCCTCTTCCTCCTCCTCCTCCTACTCCTCGTCCTTCTCCTTCTCCTCCTTCTTATCCTCCTCCTCCCCCGCTGCGCCCCGGGCCAAGAAGTGCATGGTGTTCGTTTCCTTCGGCGGGCTGCTGATGAAGCTGTCCAGCGACTCCAACCAGCTCAAGGAGCGGACGGGGGCTGGTTTCGGCAGGGGCCCGCAGTGAGCGCACCATTCCGACTGGGGGAGGGAGGGAAGCGATCGGGAGTTTGACGACGAGGACGAGGAGAACAAGGACGTAGAAGGATGAGGAAGGCGTGGGCGAGGAGGACCAGGATGGAGGAGGACGAAGAGGATGAGGAGTGGAGGTGGAGAAGCATGTGGATGGGAGGGTCAGGGCGAAGAGGACGACGAGAGTGAAAGAGCAGAAGAAGGAGGAGCAGGAAAACTAGAAGGAGAAAGAGAAGCATGAAACCAGGATGACGAGGCTAGTAAGGGGGGGAGGAGGAGGAGGAGGAGGAGGAGGAGGAGGAGGAGGAGGAGGAGGAGGAGGAGCGCCCGTCCTTCTCCCCATGACTCCTCGCTCGTCCCCAGGAGGACAAGGAGTGTCTACTGATCATCGTGAGGAATAGATTGGTAATCGTGGTTTCCAGAGGGTTCGCCAAATGTGAAGTGTCGATTGTGTCTCTTGATGGCTCCCGGCTGTGGCATCTGGCGATAGCACTGTTTTTGGTAACATGATCGCATCTCTATCATGGCCCAGGCGTGTTCATGCTCTCATGCAGGAGCAGAATCAGTGAGTTACCAGCAGCGTCACAGGTTGTGCCACATATAATGGAGGTGATAGTTTGAGAATAAGTGGACGGTGGTGCGTTTCATCCTCCTCCCCGCTTGCGCAGGAGTTCCACCTCAACGACGTCGTCTACTTGATGATGAGGAAGGTACAGGGTGAGCTCGTTGACGCTAAGCCGCGCGGACGTGAGGACACGATCCTAGCGGGGTAGCCGGATCTCCCCTTGCTTCTCCGTTCTCGTGTGCGGGAAACGTATCCGTATCCTCGGCCACGTGGTCTTCACTCCCAGGCCGCGGCCCTGTGGATACAGGGTGGCAGGGCGGCTTTTTGTGCTGATCCCGCAGCCGGATCCTCCCCGTGAGGATCGCGTATCCTTGAGATCGCGTTTCGGTGTCCAGACCACGAGGGGAGCGTGCATGGATACATTTTCTTCGCTCGTGACTCCTGCTCACCTCCTGCTCCTCCCTCGCCGCTATGAGCGCCCGCGCGGCCGTCCGTGGAGCCCGCGGCGTGGAGCAGGACAACTGCGGGCGCCGTGCCGCGTGCTCCGAGCGCAGATGAACATGTTCCCGGGCACGCCAGACCTGCGGGACATCGGCAGCCTTGAGACGGGGGTAAGTGCAAGCAGGGGGTCAGCCAGAGCGCCCGATCTTGCAGGATCCTGCAGGGCCAGGGTCGCATTGACCCGGCTTTGGATGCAGGATCCTGCGAGATCTTGCATGATCCTTCGCATTGACCCGGGCTTGGGTGCAGGATCTTGCAGGATCCTGCAGGATTCTGCAAGGCCTGACTGACCCAGGTCTGGATTGACCCGGGTCAGAAGATCCCCGGGGACGTATCCAGAGAGTTGTTGGATGAGGAGTCGACCGAAACGTTGATCAGGGAACCTGCTTTGCAGTAATCGTTCTGATTCCGTTCAGGCGGTGTTCTCGCTCCGATGACCATTGGGAGACAATCCCGGTTCCGGGCGTGCATCAGAACGTTGTTATCGGAAATCCCTAGGGGTGTTTTCGCTCTGGCAAAGAAACGAAACGAAAACACAAAACGTTGTTTCGGTTCACCCTTGGACTGGATGCAGTTGCATCCACGGTTGCAGCATGCAGGCAAGTATTGATGCAATTTGCTTCTCTTTCGCGGTATGCCGCACCTTTCCTTGCCAAGTTATCATCATCGACCCTCGACTCATTTCAACAGTCTCAGGTCGGGCATGTCCCCCTACAGGCGTATTTGGGGCGAATCAACAAACATACCAAACAAACATCCCCAATATAGTCAAAACATACTGGAAGGCATCGTCCCCTGACGATGTGTTGACTACTGTTGAATCTTCCTCCTGTGGAGGGACACGCCCGACGTAACAGTAGCCCGACCCCCACCCGCTCCGCCGCTTCCGAGCAGCAGCACGTGCCGTCCGCAGCGTGGCACACGGCGAGGCGTCGCTCCTGCGCCGCGCTACGTCGAGGCGCCGAGGAGACGGGAACACTTCCGGCCTCGGAGGGGGCACGGCGGGCCCTCGGTGTCTCGGCAGGGGGCCACTCGGGGGCGGAAAAGAGGGGGGTGATGACCAGGGGGGGGTGGATATCATGGCGTGGGCCATGATATTTCCCCAGATCTCATGGCGCCTCTTCTTATTTCATTACGTCCCTGGCCCCCCCGCAGGGCCGCGCACATGCCGCCGGTCATGATTTGCACCCCCCCCTCTTGGACCCCCTCTTGGCCGCTCCCGAGCCACATGCGAACCTCACAGTCGGCCCAGATTAGTAGGTCGACCCTGCCAAATCAAGGGCACCCTTGCGTCCTGTGTCTCGCGACCCATGCCTTCTACAGTCCTGTGGCAGCGTGGCCCTCGGAAGGGTCTTGTGTCCTCTCACGTGTCCTGTCCAATCAAGTCCGACTGTACCCCCTACCCCCCTCCCCACGATTTCTGAGGGGGAGGGTGGGTTTCACTTCGCTCGGGAGCTCCCGAGCGAAGCGAACCACACCCTCCCCCTCCGAAATCGTGGGGGGGGGGTAGGGGGTAGGGTTCGCACGTGGCCCCCTCCTCGGATACTATCTCCTCGGGCCCCGGCAGAGAATCCCCGACCAGCTCGGGGAAGACCTCGGCGGCGTTCCCTGCCCGAGATCCCTTGCTGCCAGGCCTTGACCGCGGCACGAGACCACCCCCCCGATGAGGGCGCTCCCCGTGCTGCCCTGCGCTCGCCGCGGGGTGGCAAGGAGGGGGAGGAGGGGGAGGGAGGGAGGGCGGGAGTAGGGTGAGGGATGGAGGGAGGGAAGGGAGGGAGGGAGGGAGGGAGGAGGGAGGGAGGGAGGGAGGGAGGAGGAGGAGGAGGTGAGGAGGGAGGAGGAGAGGAGGAGGAGGAGGAGGAGGAGGAGAGGGAGGAGCAGGAGGAGAAGGGAGGAGCAGGAGGAGGAAAAGGAGGAGGAGGAGGAGGAGGAGGAGGAAGAGGGCGGTGCAGGAGCCGGCCGTGGGAGTTCTGTGGGGCCACGGGCGCGCACGGCCGCTCCGCCCCGGGCCCGCAGCCACAGGGAAGTCTGGGAGGCCGCTCGCTGCCGCACGCCGCCGACGGCTCGACCTCGTCCAGTCGTCGGGCACGGCAGCTCCGGGTAGCATTTGCGCGGGCAGTTGCTCCGTGTAGCATCTTTACCGCTTCCAGCTCTGGTGCCGATCCTGGAGCTGCTTTCCGATCCTGTTTTTTGAGCCGTTTCTGGTCGCCGTTGTTTTGCTGTGTCCATTTACAGTATTTGTTCCGCAAGCGACGACAAGAACGACCCTGCCGTTTCCGGGGCCCACTAAGGCCCATACGTGTGGAGCTCTGGGGCGAGAGCTCCCTTTTGAAAACGTACCGGCCTCCGTCCGTGTAGCATTTGTGCGGGCAGTCTCTGACATTGTGCTGGGTACTCCCGCCATCGTGGCATGTCATGGAGTGCACATCTTTGCCACGAGGACTGCCGCGCCTGCAGCTGCCTTGGCCAGACGTCCGGCAACCCCTGCTTTATTGCTCTTCCCAAACACGCATCCCGCGACAAGCCCAGACGACGCCCAAACGTAGGGGAACGAAGAAGGACATAAACATAAAAATCATGAGGTCCGCGCGGATTTCTCGGATCCGCGCTGGATCCCCCTGGCAGCGCCTCCGGCGCCACCCCTGGCGCGCTCCGCGCGCCAGGGAGGGGGGGGGATCCAGCGCCGATCCGGAGAAGTCCAGTCTCCGAGTTTTTCATGTTGATACCATTGTTTGTACCCCTCCTTCATCCCGAGCCCTTCTTCGACGGCCCGGGGGGTCCCAGAAGGGCTCCTGCCATGAACATCCCTCGGCCGTGGAATCGTGCGCCTGCGCACTTGCGGAGTGGAGTTCACGGCGCGTCGCTGAGTTGTGTGTTCGCCGTTAAACGCTCATCGTCGTTAGTTGTATGCCCCGCGTGCCCCCCCTTGTTCGCGGAGGCACTGAGGCAGGGGCGGCCACAGAGGCCAGGCGAGGGTTGCCGAGGAAGGACCTGGCAAAGGAACGAGGAGGGCCGACGGGAGGAGAGGAGGAGGCGAGGGAGGAGAGGAGGGGGCGGGGAGGGAGGCCTGGACTGGAGCCGACGACGGCGCTGGCCCCGTGTCTGGAGGCAGAGGCCGTACAGGCACTGGGGCTGGAGCCGGTGCCTCCGCCCAGCCGCTCCACGGCAGGGGGCCGGGGGGACCCGGGGGGGGCGAGGGGCAGAGGAGAGGCGGCCAGAGGAGCGGGGGGGGAGGGGGCAGGCCGAGGGCAGCCCCCGGCGCGGAGGGCTGCCGCCCGCGGCCGCCCGCCAGGGTCTACGTCGAGAACTCGGAGTTCAGGTACAGGCCGGCGGCCCCCGGGGCCCTCAGCCGCGGGCTCGCCTCGCCCTGCCCTCGAGGAGGCCGCCGGGCCCCGCTTCCGTGCGAAGAAATTGGCGCGCCGTCGCCAAATCAGGCGGGCCCGGGAGGGATTGCGTACCTGTTCCCCTCGCGCCCACATGCCAGATCCACGGATTTGGAAGCCGTGCCAGTACGTGCTTCGATGCCTTTCCTCCGTGCCGCCGTCGCTGCCGTCCGCGCTTGTCGTCGCCGATTCCCCTCCTTGGTCGATCTCGTCGTCGTCGTCGTTGTCGTCGTCGCCCTCCGACTCCTCGGGTAAGAGCGATGGAGGGAGAGGCGGGGAGGGAGGAGGAGGAGGAGGAGGAAGAGGAACAGTGGAAACCAAAGAACCATCAACGATGTTGGAATTAACCCTCCCTCCAAGCTCCCTCTTGATAGGCCCCTAACAATGGTTCATATCCATTGAGGGAGCTGCCTCGCTGGAAGACAACTGTTTGAAGATCCTGAAGTGTGCCAAAACACTGCTCGGGATCTCAACTCCATGTATCAACCAGACTGCTGCGTCTTGACGATCCAGAATCGTACCAGAACGCCGTTCTTGGGACTTCAACACAGCGAATCAACATAACCCCAGCGCCCGCATAATCCGGAATCCTTAAAACATAGTTTCTGGTACGTTGATCATGGGAATCCGTGAAACTTTGCAAATTATGAAAACGAATGTGCGCGGCGCTTAGGCGAGAGCCACATTTTGAAACTATATATATAGCTTTTAATCTCTATATATATATATACACATAATGGACAATCCGTGAAACGCCTACACATGTTCAAAACGAGTATGCGCGGCGCTACGGCGAGAGCCACATTTTAAAGTCGGCCCGCCCTCAACCCGTGAAATTCTTGCAAAGTATGAAAATGAATGTGCGCGGTGCTAAGGCGAGAGCCACATGTTGAAAAGGAACCGCCCTCAATCCGTGAAGCTCTTACAACTTGTTTAAACGAGTGGGCGCGGCGCTAAGGCGAGAGCTACAGTTTGAAAACCACCCGCCCTCCATCTGTGAAGCTGTTGTCACTCTTCAAGTTTCAGGGTCATAAATGGTGGGGGAGTCTCAGGCGAAACTCCCGGACCGCCCTAAATAAATGGCTCCGGGGTGCGACAGAGAGAAGATATGCATAAGGAAAGGAATGGAGGAGGAGGAGGAGGAGGACATGGAGAAGGACAGGGAGGCGGAGGAGGAGAAGGAGGAGGAGGAGGAAGAGGACAAGGAGGATGGAGGAGGAGAGAGGAGGAGGAGGAGCAGGAGGAGGAGGAGGAGGAGGTGGAGGAGGAGGAGGAGGGAGGGGAGGAGGGAGGAGAAGGAGGAGGGAGAGAGGAGGAGAGGAGAAGAAAGTAAGGGGGAGGAGGATGAGGGAGACAGGGAGGAGAAGAGGGAGTATACGAGAAGGAGGGGAGGAGGGCGGAGGAGGATGGAGGGAAGATGAGAGGGAGGAGGAGGAGGAGGAGGAGGAGAGGCGAGGAGTGTGAGGAGGAGGAGGATGAGGAGGAGGAGAAGGAGGGAGGAGGAGGAGGAGGGGAGGAGGAGGAGGAGGAAGCCACGGGCTGAGGAGGGGCCCGCCGCCGCGTGGGGTCGTGTCGTCCCCTCGTTCGGCCAGCCCCGTCAGCCCGGGCCAGCGCGCCGCGGCGCCATTAAAGAAGCAAAGCTGAAGAGAAGCGCCGCGGCCGCGACGCCTAGGCTAAAGAAAGACGCCCAGGCAGAAGGAAGAAAGTTGGCACAGGAGGGCCCGCATAGCGCGAGGCCACGCCAGGACACTCTTGAAGGTAGTCGAGGCCTCCAGACTACTTGCAGATCATCACTCAGCACAGCCCTTCGACAACATGGCGAAGAGCTGGAAGCAGCAGCAGCAGCGCGGCGCCTCGAGGGAAAGGTGGTCAGGAGCAGGGACCACACACCTCGAGGCGTCTCAGCGCGGCCCTGGGAAAAGGTGGACAGGAGCAGGGTCCACAGCCCAGGCGCAGCGCCAGCGCAGCGCAGACTGGACTGGCGACTACGGAGCCATTGGTGGGCGGCCCTGGGAGTGGCAGCAGCATAGTCAGCAGCAGCAGCCAGCAGCAGCCACAGACCACAAGCGCCACCAGCAGCAGCAGCAGCAGCCACAGACCCACAAGCACCAGCAGCAAAGCGACAGCGACCAGCACTGGAAGCACAGAGCGCCCTGGAGGAGCGCCTCAGCCAGAAAGAGAAGCGGCAGGCGCAGAAGAAGGGACCAGCTCGACATGCCTGCCGCAGCCCACATCGGCAGCTACCAGTACAGCCCCCAGCAGAAGGCAGTCCTGGACAGCATCACGCCAGTCTCCTTCGCCGTCGCGATGGAGCACGAGAGCTGGTCCGCACCTCCAGAAGACGAAGAGATGAGGTTCGTGTGGTACAAGACCAAGTGCCACAGGCTGGGGCGTCTCACCGAGAACATCGCAGGTGCTAGGCTGGCCGGCTTGTGCACAACCAGCCTCGAGCAGGAAGCGGCGATCACCGCCACGAACATCTCCTTCGTCCTGCCCCACAAAGAACGCATGAGGCAGCTCAGGGCCACGCTGGAAAAGCTGGAGGAGGAGCATGCAGAGATGGAGAAGCGGCTCAGCAAGATGCTGGGCCAGGAGGCGACGGCAGCCAGAACCATCAGGGTCTACAAAACCCTGATGAGGGAAACCAGAGATCAAATGGCCAAGTCGGCGGGAGTAAAGGACGAATCATCCGAGGAAGACGGGAGCCAAGATCCCACCAGAGGACGCACGCCACACCCAGCCGCGAGGAGAAGGCGCGACCCTGCGGCAGCTCCAGCGGCTCCGGCCATGGCCCAACCAGCCACAGCTCAGCCAGCCCCAGCCCAGCAGCCCCGACCAGTCCCAGCAGCATCAGACGAGATCAAAGACGCCATCAGGAGATTGACCGAGAGGCTTGATTCGCAGCAGAAAAAAGAACAGCAGCAAAGCGACCTACTTGCACAAGCAGAGTTCAAGCACAAAAGCGAACTGAAGGCCTACGAGCAGACCATCGCGCAAAAGATGTACCACACGACCGAAGAGCAGTTGGCCAAGCAGGAGAAGTGGCACATATGGGAGGTCAACGCTCTCAAGCGGCACCACAACGCCAAGCTAGAGGAGGAGGAAGCAAAAGCATACGAAGCACAAAGAGGCACCCAGAGGACACAGGAGGAAAGGGCCAAAGGGATGCTCGCAGACCTGCAAATGCATATCGAGATGGAAAAGAAGACCTTGCGCGAGGAGATGCACATGGAAGACCAGAGAAGAGCAGCCATCTACACGCAGCAGGTCCAGAAGGCCAGGCAGGAGGAGCAAGCTGTGAGAGAGATGGCAACCCAAGAGGCCCAGTGGTACAAGATGGCGCAGGAACACAACGAGAAGGCGATGCAGGAGATGGCGGAGGCGGAGTACCAGGAGAGATGCGCCCGCCACAGCGCTTATAAGGAGGAGGAGCTGCGGATCGCAGTGAACTTTCAGCAGATGGCCCACGAGCATCAGGAAGAAGCCAACAAGCGCGAAGCGATGCGGGTCGTCCTGAACCTGGAGCACGCAGCCATCCAGGCGAAGGCATACGAGATGCAGCACGAGCAGGAAAGGTATCTGGAGCGCGTCGGCGAGCACCAGGAGGAGGTGGACAAAGCCCACAGGATGGAGGAGGTGGCACTGCAGCGACAAGCAGCAGCCACAAGCGAACTCCATGCATTACAGCAGCAGCAGGAGATGGAGAACCAAGGGGCGCACCAGTACCACAGTACACTGCAGCACCAGTGCCAGCAGGAGATGCAGGCCATCGCGCAGCACTACGCCCACAACCATCATATGAACGAAGCGCAGAGGCAGCAGCAATTACAAGAACTCCAACGGGCACATGATTTGCAAACGGCTGGACTCCAGACTGCACTACGGGAGGCCTGGGGAGCAGGAGGACAAGTGGACGAGGACCTGCTAATCGACATGACGGAGGACCTCATGGGAGACACAGCCACGAGCGAGCGTGACCAAGGCATGGCGGACCAGGAGGGCGCGTACCAGAGGGAGCAACTTGAGGCAGACTTACTTCGGCTGCTACCTAGCCAGTACGAACTTCCACATCCAGAACTGCCGCCGTACCTCGAGGAGCTGGCCGAGGTGGGATTTGGAGAGAGGTCCCATACATCGTCTTTGCCAACGCCAGAGGAGCCTACCCCCTCGTCGAGCGACGACCTCAGCTTCCAGAACCAAAGCTTTGTGCCGAGGACATCCGCCGAAGAGTGGCCGCTCCCCCCGCCACCACCTCAGCAGCGCCAGCACATCGAGGAGTACAACAGGGTCGGCTCCTCTTCGCACTCTGGGATGCTCGAGGTACGGGCGAGCAGCGATTGCATCCCAATTGGCGAATCCGACGACGCTGACCTGCTGGACGAAGAGTGGAAGAACCGCCAAGGCCTGAGCAAGGAGAAGGAGGGCGAAGCCCCGACAGACCTCGCCTCACTCTCACCAACGATACCAGCCGACTCACCCATCCCGACGGAACAGCCCACGCCAAGACACCTACTGTTTCCGCCCGTCACGCCTCTCACGCCACACAAAACCCCACAACAGCGTTCACAGACAGCCAAGACTCCCATGACGACGCTGTTCATCGACCTCAGCCGCGACGAGGAGGACTGCCCCAGCACACCTCCACGGATGCCGATTGAGGATATCACGCCCACCGAGCCACACGAGCCACGACTGCCACCACCGCGTTTCCACTTGGGCACACCAGAGAGGACGAGCTCGGCACCTCCATGCAGAGGTAACCTGAAGCAACCAAGGGAACCCAGGAGGGCGAGGAGCCAGCCGAAAAAGGTCAGGATCTGCGACGCGGACGATGGCTTCGCGGACCCAGGTGACAGAGTGGCATCCTTCATCGAGAGCGGCGAGAGCGACCTCGACGGGGGTCGACTGTCAAAAAACTGATACGGAGTACGCAGGCTGGGGGGCAACTGGCCCAGACC